CCTTTTAATTTTTTTTTAATGGCAATAAGAATGGAAGTGACAACAAATGCCTGCAGAGCAGCTTGTTACTTACTCGATATCCAGGATTTTTTAGGAGTTGGGAATGGAGGATGAGCGCTGCCAGGGGCTGGGGAATGGTTGGGGTGTCCCTTTGGGATGCCATTTTGGGATGAGCCATATTCCAGGAGCATCACAGCCCTGTGAACACTGGATTTTTGCTCCCTGTAACATACGGATCACACCGTGCCCATCCTCATATTCCAGCTTTTCCCAGCACATTTCCATGCTTTTCCAGCCACCAAATCACCCCGGGACATCCCAGCAGGGCAGAAGCGCGTCCTCACCGAGCGCCTTTCTGTGGGAGCCCTGCAGCATCCCCGTGCTGTCAGTCCCTGCCCTCCTCCTGAAGGAATGACGGGCCCTTTGTCCCGGTGTCTGCTCCTGTTTTTCAGCTCCTGTTGAAACCCTCTATTTTTCCCCCCCAGAGCCGGTGATAAGCGTTTGACTGATCCCACTGAGCAGGCGGGGATGAGCTATTCAGGCGGGATTGACACCTAAAAAGATTTGCATTAAACGCTTCAAACTCGCACGGCTTTTTTATTTTCATTTTTATTTATTTATTTTATTTTTTTTTCTCCCCTTTTATTTATTTTTTTTTTTAATTATCCATCATTATCTATTTAGCAAATTCCTGCATGAAATTACTGCCCCAGTCGTTGGCATTCACCTACCTGAGAAGGAATCGCTCCCGGTGAGCAGCGCTGATTTTTCCTGAGCATCCCGAGGCAGGAATTATCCCCGAGGCTCCACAAACTCTGCCTTGGGGGGTTGCTCTGGGCTCTCCCAACCGAGGGATAAAGCAGGAAAATGAGGAATTCTGCGTCCGCAGAGGGTTGGCAGATGGTGAGGGGTGAAGGAGAGGAGGATGCTGGGGGTGCCGGTGCGGGCTCACGATGGGCCAAGGGATGAGATGCGGCATTTTGGGAAAGGTTTGGGAAGCCAAGAGCTGCACAGAACAGGGGTTGATCCCGATGTGCTGCTGGGGAAGCTGGCACCTGCAGCAAGGAGTAGAATCCCGGGAATACCTGACTTTGGAACCTCCTGGAGCAGATATGAGGGTGGGACAACCATGGAGAGTGGCAAAAACAAATAGTGAGGATGTCCTGATTTCGGGATCTGCTCCAAATCTGGCAGGAAAGGAGCCCTTGTCCCCATGCTGGCATTTTCCTGCCATCCTTGGAAGGTGCTGTGGGCGTTTCCCAGATTTGGGGGGCTCCAAGCCTTGAGATGGACCAAGTGTGGTTCTCTTTGCTCCCTCAAAACACTTTGGAGCCAAAATAAAAAAATAAAAAAAATTTGCTCCATAACGAGCTCCCCACTCCTCCCTCGCCTGGAGACTCATTTTGGGAATTGTCCAGCTGTGCCTGGGGGAAAATGGTCCTTCCTGGGGGTCAGGAGGGATCAGCAGCATCCAAATTCACCTGAATGGCCCCTTCGTCTCTCCCTGTGCTTCCCTGGCTTCTCGTTAATCCCAGAGATGCTTTAGTGGGGTTTTCCAGCTTTTTCCCACTTTTCCAGCTCCTGGGAAGGGCTGGAATGCCCCTTAATGGGGGGATTAGCGTGGCCAACCCCATCCCGAGCAGTGAAGTGAGACCTGGCTCCATCTTCTGCTGCACTTTGCTGGTTCCTCCTGATCCAGCTGGGATTTATCCGGCTGAGATTCCCAGCAATGAGGGAATCCTGCCTCCCTTTCCCAAAGTGAGGCTGTGTTGGGCCTTATTCCTATGGAAAATTGAAATTAGGCCGATGTTTTTCCTTGTTGGTGTTTTTTTTTAATTCCCTTTTTTTGCCTCTGCTGTCCTTGCGGAACTGGGAGCTGGCACAGGGAATGGGAATTCCTCCTGCCCAGCTGGGATGGGGAGTTTAGGCTGCATGGAAAAACATTTCCAGCATGTTTTTCCCAACTTTGCATAAACGAGGGGAAGATGGAAATTTTTTGCCTTGGTCACTCCCAGGGATTCAGGGGAAGCCACAGCTTTTCTGGGCACCCTGTGCCAGGGTCTCCCTCCCTCCCAGGGAAGAATCCCATCCCAATATCCCATCTAAACCCCCTCTCTTTTAGATGAAAAACATTTCTCCTTGTCCTGTCACTATCTATGGAATCATGGAGTGGTTTGGGTTGGGTTGGGAAAGACCTTGAAGATCATCTCATTCCAACCCTGCAGGATGATGGATGGTGGATGGATGATGGATGGATGATGGATGATGGATGGATGGATGGATGGATGATGGATGATGGATGGATGGATGATGGATGGATGGATGATGGATGATGGATGGATGGATGGATGGATGGATGGATGGATGGATGGATGGATGGATGAATGGATGGATGATGGATGATGGATGGATGGATGATGGATGGATGGATGATGGATGATGGATGGATGGATGGATGATGGATGATGGATGGATGATGGATGGATGGATGATGGATGGATGGATGATGGATGGATGGATGATGGATGGATGATGGATGATGGATGGATGGATGGATGGATGGATGGATGAATGGATGGATGGATGGATGGATGGATGATGGATGGATGGATGGATGGATGGATGGATGGATGGATGGATGATGGATGGATGATGGATGGATGGATGGATGGATGGCTGGATGGATGGATGGATGGATGGATGATGGATGGCTGGCTGGATGGATGGATGATGGATGGATGGATGATGGATGGATGACCCTTCATGGAAACAAGTCCTCTATGAGGTGCTCATGACTGGCCTCATCCTCCACCCCTGCCCCAAGAATGGTTTTTGACCCTTTTTTGCCCAAGCAGCCCCAAGCAGGGTATGGTTTGTCCCTCAGGCACTTCTTGTCCCCAAACCAGGTGACAGGACCCCCTGTCCTTTGATCCCCCTGTGCCAAGGGGTTTTCCCTGGGTGAGGATGCTCCTGTTCCTCTTCAAGCTTCGGTTCTTGCTCCCCTTCCCTCAGGCCAGGGATCAAGGCCAGGGGGAGACAGGCAGCCAGCCCAGTCACCCAGTTGAATCCTGGTGTTTATTCTTCTTCATTATTTTTTTCTTGTCCTGAAGAAACAGAGAGGGAAAAAAAATCTCTCTCTGTCCAAAATCACTCATCCTTCCTAATAATGAGAGCTGTCAGCAGCCCTGCTTGGCGAGGAAATGATGCTCGCAGTAAATATTTGGTCTGGAACTGATTTATGGGTGGAAAAAAAAACGAGATTAGTGCTTAATCACTGCCTTTCAGGAAGGGCTTCGGGCCGGGGTTGAGCTCAGGGGGAGCTGAGGCCATGCCAGAGGAGCAGCACTGGGATTTTTAGTGGAGAGTCCGTGGCTGGGTTGGGATTGAGCTGCAGCAGTGGAGGGGATGGACTGGATTTGGGGCCACCAGGCAGGGTTAGATGGGATTTTGGGAAGAGATTGTTCCCTGGGAGGGTGGGGAGGCCCTGGCACAGGGTGGCCAGAGCAGCTGTGCCTTGGATCACTGGAAGTGTCCAAAGCCAGGCTGGACAGGTCTTGGAGCAGCCTGGGACAGTGGAAAATGTCCCTGCCCTTATCCTTCAATGAGCTCTAATGTCCCTTCCCACCCAAGCCATTCCATCACTCCATGACCATCAGCTCCCCCAGGGAGCTCCAAGCCAGGAGAGCCGTTCAGCTGGACCAGCCTGGGATCATCCACCCCATCCTGAACCCAGCACACCCAGAGAGGTCCTTGCAGCCACCCTAAACACAGCAGCAGCTTTCCTGTGTGAGGAAATAATTAACTTATTAGAGGATGGTTTCATTTTCTTCATTAAAGAGGTCATTTCCTATCGCCTGGCAGGGCCAGATGTCCCCGGGCACTGCTGGGAGTGCCCACCCTGCCAGGGAACAATTCCTGCCCAATATCCCATCCATCCCTGCCCTCTGGCAGTGGGAAGCCATTCCCTGTGTCCTGTCCCTCCATCCCTTGTCCCCAGTCCCTCTCCAGCTCTCCTGGAGCCCCTTTAGGCCCTGGAAGGGGCTCTGAGGTGTCCCTGGAGCTTCTCCTCTCCTGGTGAACACCCCCAGCTCTCCCAGCCTGGCTCCAGCCCTTGGAGCAGCTCCGTGGCTCCTCTGGACTGGCTCCAGCAGCTCCAGGTCGCTCCTGTGCAGGCCCCCAGGGCTGGGGCAGTGTTCCTGTTGGGATGCATGGATTATGGATGCAGCATTCCAGGAGTCCTCCATCACCATGAGCTGTTACACTGCTGGGATGTTCTCGAAGGATCTCTGTCCCAAACGCTGCAGATTTCCAAAGGGCTGAGCTGCCTTTCCCAGGGCTGTCTCTCTCTCTCCTCACTCCATGGCAGCGCCAGGATCCTGCAGCCCAGCCCATCTGAGCTGCCAGTGTCACTCTGCATCCCAAATCCTTCCGGTCTGCTGCAGCTTTGGGATTATCCAAGACAAGGGAACGATGGCTGGGCATTGTCCCAGCGTGGAGAAATGGGCTGCGGAGGGGGAGGCAGGCGATTCCCCCTCCCTGCTCTGCAGAATTTCATCTCTGAGGAAATCCTCCCAGGGTTTTGGGTCGTCCACACCACAGTCCTGTGCCTTGACAAGCTGATTCCTGGGAATCTGTTGGGGTCCCTCACATTCTCCACTGCAGCCCTGCATTTGATGTAGTGACATTAAATGTGATCATTTAGGGTCATCACAAGGTCAGCAAGGATGGGGCTGACAAGCTTTTGGACCAAATTGTTTTCTTCACCCAGGTTCTCAAGAGGAAAAGCTCTGGAATGTTCCTTAAGGAAAAGCTCTGGAATGTTCCTTAAGGAGAACTGCCTTTGTTTTATGGTGGGGAGGGATTGGGAATTCTCATGGTGAAGGGGATTAATTATCACGTGGAAGATGACGCAGCAACACCTCCATCCCACGGGTGCCACCAGCCCACCCCCAACTCCTTCCCCTTCACTTTTCCCTCCTTTTTCCTCTTTTCCCTCCCAGGGTCAAGAAGAAGAACAAGCCCCTGAACCTGAAGATCCACAACAGTGTGGGGAGCTGCGAGAACATCCCGGCCCAGCGCTCCCCTCTCCTCTCCGAGCGCTCCCTGCGCTCCTTCTTCGTGGGGTACCCACCCTTCCTGCCCTCCACCCCGCCCGTCCACACCGAAGCCACCTTCTCAGCAAGTGAGTCCCCGTGGCCCCCTCGGATCCCTCTTCCAAGGGCTGGGAGATGCCAAGTGGAGGATGGGACTGGGGAGTTTTGGAGTCCATGGTTTGGAGGATGTTGGTTGAGCATTGTGGAGGTGCCTCATGTTGGTTTTTAGAGATCTGTTGGTGCTTCTGGGCAAAGATAACCCCAAAACCTTGATTATTTCTGGTTTTTGGGAAAGCCACGATGTTTCTGTGCTCTCTGGGTTGGTGGCACTGCCTGGATGTCACCTAAAAGTGACTTTTCTGAGGGTTGCTTTGTAAACCCAGCTGTGGTTTTATCTCTGTGTTAAACCTCTCCTGCTTGCTGGATTTGGAGCTGATGTGGAGTTTTGGGAAGCCAGTCCTGCTGCAAACCCCGTGGAGCTGATCCCACTGACAGGGGATTTGTCCTCTCCCGGGAGATGCTGGTGGTGGCACTCACTGGGTGGGTTTGGCTCCATCAGCTCACCCAGGTCTGGGGGGAACAGCCTGACCCTCATTTCCTCATCCCAGACCAGTGCTGGGATTAATTCCACAGGGATTGAAGCTTTTCCAAGCTGGACTTGGAGCAAGAAGAACTTCCCTGGAAACATGTGGCAGCTCCTGGGAGTGATGCCCAGCCAAGCTGAGGTCCCCTTGCTTCTTGTTCCTCATTTGAAACTTCCTCCAGCTCCACATCTAGGCTGGGTTTCTGTCACTCTCCCTCCCCTGGATTTTTCCCTTGTTTCCTGTCTGGAAATGTCTTCCTATCACCTGGCAGCTGAGGTCATTGTTGGGGTTGTTTTGGGGTTTTCCACTCATTCCATGTGCTCAGCTCTTGGCTGAAGAAGGGTTTGCAGCCAACTCCCCTTCCCCTTCCCCTTCCCCTTCCCCTTCCCCTTCCCCTT